ATAACTTCCGGGTTTTTGACGAGCTCCTCGAAAAGACGAAGCGTCGAGGAGGAGACTTGTTTTACCGACGACAGCGAGAGCAGTTCGTGAACGAATCTTGTCTGTTCATAACACAAATAAAGACTTAGCCGAATCATTGTGTAGATCATTTATACGCAACATAGTATCCTTCATTCTCATAAACATTCAAATCATTTTATGGATAACTAGCTGACGTACCCGCTCTCGCGCGGGCAGTTTCATATTGCAAATCATATTTTAGTTCGTATATACAGACTAGACTGTAATATACCGTGAATAAATAAGCAGCATAGAATTTTGGATAGTGCAATATGAATCACATCGATTTGCGGCTTTTTAAACTTTTTTGTCTGCCTCAGCTCATCGTTAGCTAAAGAACATTGTCGCTTGACTGTTCCTTCGACTAACTTTGGCCAGCAGGAATAAATGGGCTGTTGAGCGCCGGGCGAGAGGCCAGCGACTGACGATCGAAATACAATGTAAACAGATAAGGAATGAAACGCATGAATGCAAATTTAATCTTTTATAGTTTTCAGTATACATTCATTAAAGTGTCACGAATGAACTGAGGAGATTCTGTCGGTGGAAATGAGTCCAAATACGACATCATTCGGATTATTTTCAATAATATATCATTTTCATCCGCAACATTACGTATGAGTAACAATTGTCCAATTACACTCGAATTTGGACGCATTTTAATCGGGAGAATTTCTTCAATTCATTCATGACATTTTCATTAAAATATATTTGCAAATTGTAAAAGTTTAAATTTTCATTCGTGCGTCATTCCTTATCTCATCTACGTCTGTTTACATTGTATGCCGATGGGTCGGTCGCTGGCCTTGGACGTTCGGCGAGAATCGAAATCTCGCCACGAGCCGTAGGCCGTAGCTATTCCATCGTTCTCCTCACGGGTAGAATTGCATGCGGGACATGAGGCAACAGCGTAAGAAAAACGATACTGTCCGGCAACACTGTCTTCGCGTAGGAAATACACAAACCCAGCTTGATGGTAACGGGGAACAAAATTTATTTGTGGGTACTGCCGCTAGATGTCGTATTATCAAGCCGTCCCAAATATCGATTTTGTGTTTCCGCTGGCATCCGATTGTTTACATCCGCGTTTCGATCGATTCGGAGTTGGTCCCAAAGGAGTCTCCCCCCTTAATGGCGCTTAAAGACGCCTAGAATACGTCTTCAAGACGCCCAGAATGCGTCCTAAAGGCGCCTTTGTTACCAATCAGGACATTCAGTCGTTCAGTCCTAAAATGGTTATAAAATGGGCGTCTTTAAGGCGTCATGTGCTATTTGGGAAGTAACTGAAAATTGGAAACATTTGTTGTTCCAGTTGTATGGCATATTTCTCACGAATTATTTACTATCTCCGACGTACAATTACATCCATTGAGTTTCCAATTTTTGTAAATATCGCGATACATATTTAGAGTCTCATTCAATTTGGCAATGTTTACAAATCTGATCATATATAGTTCCAATACAAGATATCATTATTCAATTATTAAAATGGATAGATATGATCAATTACAATAATTAAGTATTAAGTACATAATCACATTTTTCATTATTAGAAATTAATTATCGATCTGGGAGACTTCAATGTTCCAAAAGGATATTCAATTCATCCACATTTAATTTGATCTTTTTTGAACATACAAGTAGAAAAAACCTATGTCGAAGGATCAATCCTCAAAAGCATAGCTTACGTTTTTTGAAAATACGTTTATGATACTTAGAGAAGTACCTAAAAGGAAGTAGGTAAAGTGTGTTGCTCAAAAGAAGTTTAACGAAGGGTATACGAGTCCGATTGGTTATATCCCCCTAAGCTTACCTTTTCTAACACAACCCTAAGATATTGGGCACATGTATTGTCTTCAGTGGCCGACGTGATGACCGACCAATCAGACCATACAGCACCGTGACGAACGACTTTAGGTGCCGTCTCGCCAGACTTCTTTTGAGAAACGCACTTCAATAAAATAACAATAAGCGTTTTGTATTTTGTAATAGTAATTTATTTTCGTAATATTTACAATAGCCTATAGTACAGTAGTGACGTATACAATCATGAGTGATTATGAACGATGATACTGGATATTACGAAGAAAGAAAAATGGGATGATTTGTTTCCATCAGTGTGACATATTATAATAATAAAAAAAATTATATACATACATTTTCTTTTGATTTTTAATTAGAAGCAGGTCTGTTGTTTCAAATTTAATCGTAAGTCATTTAAATATTCTTCAAATTATTCTACATTTCGGAAAGTCTTAAAAAGATTATATTTTTAATGCTACTCATTATAATTTATCGTGCTGAATTTTGATTAAATCAAATTAATAGTTTTGCACATAATTTATTTTCAGTCAGTACTATCTGATATTTACTGTTACATTCAATTGTTTACCTGAATTTTCTTTGCTTTAATGGCAAAAGACTAAGAGCAATCGATCATTTTTAATCGGTCCGGAATTTTCTCATTAATCTTCGTTATCTGTTGAATTTTGAAGTCTTTGAGTTCTCGCTGTCTTCTCGTTACTTTTTCCTGTATCCCAGTTTACGTAGAGCCTTCAGGTCCACATCGCCGTAATACTTTTCGCTATTCAATTAATTCAAATTTATTATTCTCAAACATAAATTTGTATAGATATAACATAAATAAAAATACGGTAAAATAAAAGTAAAGTTAATTGTAGCAGTATTGCTTATATGATATGGTCAAATTATCTGGTCCTGGAATTTTTGTATCTTGATGTTCTCGCGAAGACATAAAATTGTCGCATATCAATTCTGTATAACTTGATTTTATCAACTTTCCATAAAATCATATAAAAACCAGTAAGTATAACACGAGGTAAAAAATAAAACTTAAATCAGAAATGCTTTAAATATAATAAACGTAAAGAATATATGTATAAAAATAAATTTAAAAATTGTGGTATAAAATTAATAACACAGATTAATTTTTTATTTTCAAATTCCGTCTAATAAAACTAGTCTGAGATAATTCATTTCGTGGTCGAATTTTTCTTCTGGAAACATTCAACATGCGAGAGAACATAGAATTCTTCAAATGACATTTTAGGAAAAGTACATTTATTGCTGGCGTGTAATTTTATTTTTATGTATGTTACATTACTCGACGGATACAGCGTACACCTAAGTAAAAAAATACGCCTGTTACTTACAATAGGATCACAAATTTGTTCACGGGGCAATGCCATATTTATTGGACCAAAGTACGTAGCAAGTCGTGAATTATATTTTGAAATTAAGAAAAACTTATCATAGAAAGATAGTAAAAGCGAATGTAATAATTAGACTTAAGGGAACCTTAACAAGGCAAGCGAATTTAACTCCAATCTTTAGAAATTAGTTCACAGAAATCTGTATTTTTGCATGAACATCCACAATCTACATAGTAATGAGGATCACAAGAATCTCATTGAAGTGCTTATAGACCTAATTGTTATTGAATAGCATGTGAACAAATTTTGTGAGTTACTGAAGTCGGTTTGAACGACCATGCAAGCAGTTACATTCACGACGGTCACCAAGGGTAAAATGGGTAAAATCAACGTAAAAGCGTACATAAGAAACACACATATATAGATAACATAAAATATTATAGAACAGAGGGAGAGGGTGAATTTGAAAAGCATACGATCATTTCACGAATTTTTTGTTTCTTTTATTATACGAATCATTCACATTACTTACAAATACACGGATGAGTCTAGCTTACGCAAGCATGCTCAACCGAGGCCAAGAAGTGCTAGGGAGGCTCAAATTCGAGAAAATAAACAAAATTTTCACACAGATTCCTCTACGACATTCATTAAAAAAGATTCGTCTTCGCGCACGATTCATGTATCATCTGTTCACAGAATCTTTTTTTGTTTTGTGAACGTCTTGCGACAACGAAGAGGGTGTAAGTGCAAATAGCTAGACCAAAGACGAAATAAAAAAGGGCATGGGTACAAGGCAAGAAAAGATTGAAAAAAAGTTATCGACGAGACGACGTCAATTTTAATATCCTGCTCGATAGTTCTAACAGGATAATCAGCGACAACGAAGATCAGTCGAATCGAGAATAAATTGCTTAGAGAAGAAATAATCGGACTCTGTTCGCAGATTTCAATCATTTTCCCCGCGTTCATCGACAAGCTACGATCAGTCTCATAATAATTTCATACGGGTTTCACTTCTCCGACTAATTGGATTAATTAAAAACAAAAAGACAAGAAACGCGGCCAGGGAGTATTTAAACCCCGTACGAACGAGTCCATTTTTTCCGTTCGAGTTACATTTCATTGATACCCAAATGAAAATTCACTTTCTCGAAATACAAGATTCGCGATCTCATAAATTTTCTGCCGAAACTCCGTCCCGGATTCATCGAACAAGAGGAAGAAACGTTCACTCGAATACAGGTCTAACGGTTCGCGATTACGAACGGGACGGGATAAACAAAGTAGAGGATGTGGTCCAAATACAGGCTAAGGTCTAAATATAGGCTAGTTGAACGTATAGGGAATAGTGTGAAACTAGTATTCAAGAATAAAAGAGGTTTATTTCCACTCCATACCATAAAGCAAACATGTTTTAGACACGTTAAAGTGTCACATCTTAGAAGGATCTTCAACAGGTTCGGCAATAAGTTCGGAAGTAAAAGTGCTAGCCCATATTTAGACCATATCCCGTAACAAACGGATGTGCACTTCTTGACTCTCGATTTTACATATATATCGAGGTATCGAACATCAGGATTGTTCCCTCGAGAGTGTATGAGCTGGTTTTGTGTTGTGTACATGTGTGTGTGTTTGTTTGTTCCATGCGAGCGTATGTGTGTTTATAGGTGTTTAGAGAGGGGTAGGTAGAGAGAGCTTCGTAAAGAAAGATGGAGAGATGGGGAGAAGGTGGATGTGTGAAGACGCGAGAAAAGGGGGTGGGGTGGGTGGGGTGGGGGCGGGAGGAAAGATTAGAAATTATTCTTGAAGGGGTGCGTTGGGCCTCGCAGGTGTCAATGGGGGCCTCGGTTTGCTTTGACCCTGGGGCTTCCTGGTCTCACCCGAATTCTGTATTCCGGCAAGCAGCTCGCTCTTCCTGATGCTCTTTAAGTCCAGGTCACCGTAGTAATCCTCACTGCGAAGCAAAACCGGGCGAAATCCCGGGGTTAGGACATGCATGTGACCGTGTGCCATCTCCGTTGCGTGCGTTTCTCCGTGTTCAGTTAATTACGTACATACCTTTGATGGAAGAGATGCACCGTGTAAAACTATACCTCGTCCAACGGGTCGAATCATAAGTAACTATACAGGGTGTAACAAAAATGTTGGAGGACCCGGACATGGGAGACTCGTGAGGTGATTTGAAATAAGTTTTTCCTTAGCAAAAATGTTATCTGAGGCTTTGTTAACGAGATATTAACGAAAAACCCCGACCAATCAGAGCGCCAGTCTGCCGGCCGAGTTCCCGCGGTAACGTTGACTACCAATCGTAGCGCGTAGCCAACGTTACCGCTGGAACTCGGCCGGCAGACTGACGCTCTGATTGGTCGAGGTTTTTCGTTAATATCTCGTTAACAATGCCTTAGATAACATTTTTGCTAAGAAAAAACTTGTTCCAAATCACCTCACGAGTCTTTCAATTCCGGGTACTGCAACATTTTTGTTACATCCTGCAGACTAGAGGTACGACTATCGATTATCGATAAATTATCGATATCTTATTGATGCTTAACGATATATGAATAATGTCGTTAAGATATCGTTAAGGCCAATAGAAATGACTGGGATAGAATGCAAGGCATTATTATCTGTAACAAAATTATTTATGCAACTTATTACAGACAATTATTAGTGTATCTTTGACTATAATCTTCTTCTGTTTTAAGGAATTTGTATACATATTTATGTATGTAGTGTAAATTATATATTTTTAATATAAAAATAACACACACATGTATTTTTCTTGACATTACGTATGTAGCTACTTAAAAAATATTAAAATGTTCATAGATACAAATGAGAGTATATGGGCGAATTATGATAAGAATGTGTCTGTTATATTTATATTGATAATATACAATTTACACTATATATATATATATATACATATATATATAAATATACAAATTCTTTCGGACAGGAGAACAAGATTAGACCAAAAAATACACTAATATGTTGTCTGCAATAAGTTTAAATAAAAATAAATAGATTTCGAATGATTATATTACAATTAATGCATTGCAATCTACCTCAATCGTTTCGACATTATCGATGTATGAAAATATCGATAACACTTCGATATTGTCGATATTTATCAATAACTGTACCGATAGTCGCATCTCTACTATAGACAAAGGGAGGTCATGACCATTTAGGTGGGACAGGAACAGAGACTGTTGCCAGTAGTGATGAACCGATTCAAGTAAATACAAATAAATAATCGATACCTTCGTTTCGATACCGATATAGATTTTCAGTATCGATACTTTCGGTTGTGATATATACTCGGTATCGAAAGAAAGGACTCATATCGAACGGAGCGAGTATATGAATGTGAAGGTGGTTGTTGGCCAGTTATATTATTTCGTTAATAAATGATTGAAATATATCTTGATTGAAATGAGAGATGGAAAAATTCATTATCTAGATAAAAAGTTTCGTATAACGAATAAAAGATAAAAAAGTAATTCGACAAGTTCAATGTCGATGATTGTGTAAATGCAGAAAGAAATTCCATATTGTAAATGCTAATTAAAATTTGTAATTTTACTAGTATTGAATGAATTTTTAGGTGGATTTCTAATAGAATACTGGATCACTGCAAAAGTTCTGATGGATTTTCTGCAGATGATGTGATCGCCATGGTTTTGTGGAAGCAATAAATAATTGTGTTAACATATTATGTGCTGATGTCAATGTAACAAATAAAAGATAAAAAAGTACATCGTCGTTTTTAATCGTTTAAACGTGGAAATTCCAATCTTTATAACAAAATAATACTTCTTCCTGAATGAGTCGATATTTGGCAAGTAATCATTTGATCTAATTAACTGTTTAAGTTCAGGATGACGCCTTTAGGTACTGCAGTTTTTTACTATGTATTGTTTGAATAAAATTCTGTTGAACTTTAGTTAAAATATATTATCATAATAAAAAAAAACTTTGTATTCAGTTTCTTTCGATACAAGTAGGTATCGATACGTTTGATACGATACTAAGTAGATATCGATACTTTTTTTCGATACGAGTTATGAATAAAAGTATCGATACCTTGACGGTAACGGTTTATCCCTAGTTGCCAGCCAATAGTTGGGCTTAGCACGCGAATGTTTTGGTTTTTTTCCTGACTCGTCTCGTTGGATGAGGTATAGGTGACATGCCCTGGTTGACAAAACGCTTTACTATTCATTTTACAGACAAATAAGCAAGGATATACCGTTGCAAACGACGTGTTCGAACCTACCTCCATCGTGCGTAAATTAGAGGTGCGACTAACGATTATTGATAAATTATCGATATCTTATTGTTGCTTAACAGTGTATCGATAATATCGTTAAGATATCGTTACGACGAATCGAATATGTTGTCTGCAATAAGTTCAAATAAAAATAAATAGATTTCGAATGATTTTATTACAATTAATGCATTGCAGTTTACCTCAGTCATTTCTATTCGCCTTAACGATACATTAGCGACATTATTGATGTATCAAAATATCGATAACACTTCGATATTCTCGCTATTTATCGATAATTTCACCGATAGTTACACCTCTAACATAAACCCACTTAAAGTATATGTGTCATTATTACGTTCTTTCGAAAAATACACAGAAATTTTGATTATCAATAGAACAATAGTGAAGCATTTTGGCAATCGGGGTGTAGTACAATAAGTCCTTCATAAACGCTCGAAATTACCTAACCCAGACCACATGCGAGCACTTATAACAGTCTGATACGATTTCTGTTCCACAGAAATTTCTTTTAGAAAATTTTTATTAACATAATGGTGAGATTTTTTTGATTAAAATGATACCAAACACGATATAATCTGGATTATATTTGTTTATTTCGTGTCAACACATTTTCTTTTATTATCACTTTTAATAAATTGCAAATAATTAAAATCATATCGTATTTGGTAGTATTTTAGTCAGAAAAATCTCACCGATATGGTAATAAAATTTTCATAACAAAATAACCGGAAATAAAAAGGTTTTATTGTTCCATTTATCGATTATTAATCTTTTTTGACTCTCAATATATGTCGTTGGCTCATGAAAGAAAAGCCGCTGGCGTGTTACATTTCTCGGTGGACTGGATTGGTTCTAATGAGGACCTGCTCACTATTGAGGATGACGCACGAGTATTTAACCTCGAGCGCTTTCTGAGCAGTTATCAAGAATTTACTGTATCTAGTTTTATCGTACAGGGTGGCTGAAGACAGATGGTAAAACTGGACATAGCGTCCACGTCTGGATCGCCACGGTTTTGTGGAACTAATAAACAAATGTGTTAACATATTATGTGTCGATGTCAATGTAACACAGTGAATTGTTGTTTAGAACAAAAAAATTGACACGATTAAGTGTGTTTTATTGTTTAAAACAAAATTGAAATTGAGCTTCTGAAAAGAAATTAAAAAACGAAATGAAGAAATGTTTCAAACACTGCGAAGAACATTTGCGATCTGTTTGGAGAAGCTGTTACATTTATCCCACCCAGTCGTAAACTGTTAATTTATTAATAGAATTAGATTATAACTGAATTATAATATTCCACAAATTTATTTATTACAATAAAAAAGTATTATTGAAGGTACGGAAATATTTGAATATTAATATGTTATAAAAGAATCATTATGTATCTCAATAAATTATTATTTTTATTATTAGTCTATTCGTATAGAGCAAAACCCATCAAAACGTTTGCACTGGTCCAATACATAATACATAGTACAATTCAGCAATATAAAATGTATAGTAAACTAAAAGTCAACATTAATCCCGTCGAAAGCACTATTATAATTTCAGTAATGGTAAAACAAGAAATCTACAATCCGTCATTTTGATGGGTTTGGTAGTTCTACAGTGAAACGACGATTCCATCCTCATCAGTATCACCGAATGATAAATATTAAACGTAACTTTCCACTTTCATCATTCTTATTCAATCCTGTTCGCTATCACATCGAGAAAGGTAATTACAAAATAGAAAGATTCTCATATTTATTGAAATCACGTCTCGCGTGCAAGCTTTCACGAGCGTTATATTCCCCGTCCTCGTAAAGCCATTATATAAATATTGTGGTTACCAACATTTGGACGTTGTTACGCAAAACCGATCGACCTGGTACGGTAGCCAAGGTGTATCGGGAATATCCGTTTAATTGCGTCACCCGAAAAAGACGAAACACCTCACGTACTTCCAGTTTCGCGAACGAACGTGTGTCTGTATGTGTCTGCGTTCTGAGTTTTTAAGTACTGTAATCAAAGTCGGACTATATATAATACCTGGTCTGTCCAGAATTCGTGTTTACGTAACGTCTGGACGCAAACTTTCTCGATATATTTAAATTTACACGACTGTCTCTCCCTTTATTTTCTCGTTTCAACGTTATTAATTATCATTCAGTACGGGTGAACATGCTACAAGGAAGTTTCGAGTGTGTTATTTTTTTTTTCTTTTAAACGGAGGTAAGTAGAAATTTCTGGTTAGTCGAGTAAAGGACAGAGAGCCGGTGATAAGTTTACTTCACTCATGACTAGACTGCGGATTTTATGCATTTATAGCCCATAGGGCTCTGTGCAATACAATGAAGGATAAATGTTTCCTTAAATGCAACGAATTTTTTATTTTATTCTTCACCTAATATGATACTTAACAGAAAAAAGAAATTCTTACTTTCGTTCTTGTCTTCATGAATTACTTTGGAAAATATTATTTTGCATAAAAATCCGCAGTCTACGCATGACAGTTCCTACTAAGTTTTCAAGTTAATATATTGTTTTATAACGATTTTACTCTCATTTTAGTATTTGGATACGAATATAGTACCTATCCGTTTACCCTTCTAGACTTGTGTTGCTATATTCTATAATAAACAAATTATTTCTGGTGGATTCTACATGAAAAAGTAAGACGACAATCAAGAATGACGAAATTACGTTAGAAGCTTCGTTTCCAAGTTATTAAATGTTGCAGATATGGGCAAAATACGCGGGAATTATGTCTGATGCGACGGGTTATTCTACTTGAGAGGCGTGTTCTTCAACTGTTTCACGAGTTGGTCTCATTCGTTTCATTTTATTTTATTTGTTAGTTTCACTAGATCATCGATCGAACCCCTCTATCACCCACAGATTTCTATACATATACAGGGTGGTCCACGCAACTTGTTCACCCTCAATAACTTCAAAAATATACATTGTATGACAAAATTTGTTATAAAAAAGTTGTATGGTTTGGAGGGATACATTATATAATGCATACATTTCTTTTGTAAGTGGAGGCATTTTGGAAATTTGAAAGTCAACTTCGTTTTTTTTAAATGGAATGTAGATTTTTTATGCCTAAATATCGAAGAGCGTTAAATTCTGGGTAAAAAAGTACTGACCTCTATTAGCCTTAAACCTAATAATTAACGAATAATTTCACTTTGTTTCTAGAAAATGGTCTGTACGTAATACAAAGTTGGAGATTCAATACCAGTAAAGATTTCCGTAAAACCGCGAAGTTTACGTGACAATGTTTGTCAATGTAATCGATTCTGCGTATGGAATCGTAATCGCCTATTCTGTCCGTGATTTAGCATCGAAGTTATCATCATTGTTGATCAGTCTTGAGAAGTTATTATCAATCAACTTGATATTACGCACAGACCATTTTCAAGAAACAAAGTGAAATTATTCGTTAATTATTAGGTTTACGGTTAATAGAGGTCAGTACTTTTTTACTCAAAATTTAACTCTCTTTGATATTTTGGCATAAAAAATATAGCATTCTAATTACAAAAATGAAGTTGACCTCCAAATCTTCGAAACGCCTCCACGTACAAAAAAAATAGATACATTACATAATATATCCCTCCAAACCATACAACTTTTCTATAAAAAAATTTTTCATACAATGCATACTTTAGAAGTTATTCAGGGTGAACAAGTTGCGTGGACCATCCTCTATATTAGACTGGTATCTGTCTTATATATCGCTTATATAAAATGTACCCAAAAAGAACATACAAAAATATCTCACTCTGCACATGCGCAGAAGCAATGTGTAGATATCGTTAATGAATATGTATATGTTATGATTAGTTAATAAAGGTTAATAAAGTCATGATTATGGCTATATATTGTTGTTTTAATGGATTCAAGTGCATATTTTTTTATGGATACCTCAGTATCATAATCTATATAGAAGTCTGTGAGGTTAAGTAAGAAAGGATAAAATTATAGGTTACTAAGCAAAAACATGAATAATAAAATTGCGTTCAAAGTTTCGAAGCTTTCGTGAACTTATTGTTAGTCAAAAACTAGCGATCTCAGGAACACCATTGTCCCAGAAACGAAGTCATGAACATTAAAATTTCATTGTTTGTTGCTCGAAGAATCAGCTCCTATGCATTTGCAACTTCAGTAGTGTTGTAGCTTCATATACGAGGATCATTCAATAAATAAAGAGGCAAAAGCTTTAGTTCAAATAATATCTGAGTATGAAGTATGATACTTTAAGAATCGTAAGTTGATATCCCTGTTTTTAGTTTAAAATAGTTGCTTGACAATTATTTCAGTATACATAACCTCTACCACTCATTTAACAATAATAAGTCATTCGAAAAGTGCATTTTCGTAGAACAGCGCTCAGTGATAAGATTTTTTATGTTTTGATGGTGTAAAACCACCTGAAATTTACTCCAGAATGTGTAAACAATACGGTATAAATAGTGCAAATTTTTACAAATAGTTCCATCTAATTAAAGATGGCCGAAAAGTTGTTTCCCATAGGTAACGTGAGGGAAGACCAATTGAGGTTTCAACTTCAGCTCTAGAATCTCGACTTCACGAGCTTATTCAAAGCGACGGACGAGCTACGCTGGTACAAATCGCAGAAAACTTTAATCTTAGCGTTAGCGAAGAAGTGAGAACCAATGTGCAAAACTGGCTCTGATAAAATAAAGAATGCTTTGCACATATAAGCACAAAACTAATGTACAATATTTGTAATAATGATGTTATGGTTGATGAATAACGACCATTAATTACCTACGCGAATTTAATTCGGTAAATGTTGATAAATATCATATGCTATCTTGGGCTGTCCATAAAGATAATTCATTCTTGTATACGAGTAGTGGTACAAAAATGACATATAAAACTACTTTGACTAAAGTCTATTATGGCTGACTGGGAAGGTTTTTGCATCTTTGACTTGCTCTCTAAAGTTCGAGAAGTGTGACTTAATACACCCTGGCGCTGGGGTCCCGATATGTAAAGGGTTTTCCAATAAGAACGATATGATTTTATAATGAAATAAAATAAAAACTATATTAGATACAACCAAACATTTTATATTATTTTAAAGTACAGTTTCTTACATTATGTTTTGAATAACACATCATTTAAGTGTCTACTTCGACTTCGTGCACACGAGCGAATTCGATGAACCCAATTTTCGATGACTTTGTGCAATACCTCAGGCCTAATATCACGGATGCAGTGTTGGATGTTCAATCTTAATGCATCAATAGAGTTCAAATAACTCCACAAAAAGTAATCTAAAGGAGCTAAATCACAACTTCTTGGAGGCCAACCAAGAGTTGCATTTCTTAAAATTATCCTTTCACCAAACTGTTTTTGCAATACGTCGATAGTGGCATTAGCCACAAATAACGTTCTTGAAGCGTGTATTTAGTCATGATAAATTATCAGAGTATACTAAAGAGAAATGACAACTAGTGACAGTTATAACATTTCAAACATGATTGCCATTTCATTTCAAAATCATATCATTCTTATTTGAAAACCCTTTATAATGGAAAACATCACATATGAAAAGACAGGTACCCGACGCCTGTTCGGAATACAATTGCATTCGTGAGATCGTATGGGAGATAGATTTTTCCCCAAAGGCTAAAACACCAGCCGTTGGTCTCTTTACTTATTGAATGACCCTAGTGTCTCTTCCATCAGGTGCGTTGTCACGTTGGGCACTAGTAGCGCGGGAAACTAATCGGTAACATAAAATAGCTGAAGCAAAATTGAACTCACCATCCGGGAACGTCCTCGGGGTCCTCGCAGGCGCCGCTGCCGTCAGAGTCGCCGATCTTGAAAACGGTGCCGATCGGGCAACCGTACTCCCTGGCGATACCCTCGAGGCATATGTAATACTTTCTGCAGTCCTCGGGATGGGCGTGTCTGCTGAAGCTGCCGGATGCTCCTAACACTTCGCCTGCGGCCGGACACGTGAAACCTCCCGCAACCTCTGCGATAAAACAAATAGAGAACACGATGAGATGGAACCGATGGAACCAGGACCGAATAATTCTCATTAGAATAGTATAGTCAGTCATAAGCTACTGGCCTTTGTCACCAATGGCGCTAATGTCACATTTTTCAACACATATAGTATACCTCTATGTAGTGTTATGTAGTCGGCGAATAAAACACATGTTGGCGTTGGAGGGATATTTATTAATATTTATTAAATTTATTGCATGCTGTATGTATATTGTGTAATAAATTTAATAAACATATTTAAAATTGTGAACACCTAATATCACATGTATTATAACTCGAATTTATCATACACGATCTCATACAGTAGCCGCCAGTCATTCACTGTCTTGTCCATTATAAATCGTTTCGAAATTCAAACGCGTCCCGGATTTCCGGCACTCGTTTTAGTACTGGCCCTTGTCACCTATGGCGTTGCAAATTGACCAAAAAAAAACCTGTGAGATGTACCCCCGTGGATGGAACCACGGTCGTATATAAGGTCCGGAAACTCCCGTGGTGGGGGTGATCCTTTAATGAAGACCAAAAGTTTTATGAATCTTTCGCTAGCCACACAGCGCTGCAATCGTTGTGTTCATACAAGAACGCATGTTGATGCAGCGCACGGTCGTATACTCAGTCGTGTACATCGTGTGCACGCGTAATACAAGTTGTGCGCGCTGCCACTAGAGAGCGTGCCACGTAATAATATGATTTTGACTTTTATTCAAAATATACAAATATTTTTCTTTGGAATGTTTGACTTTTGTCCCTCAGATATTATTTTCTTTAACTAAAAGTTAAGAAGGTTCTACTGTCAAAGCGTTTAGTTGTCGTTTATTCATTCATCATGTTTTAACAGCAATAATAGGCGCATGCGCCACAGGGAATGTATACCGCGACTGAACCCATGGACATAGGAATTAGAAGACGGAGCACAAGGTCCCATTCCTAGGTCCATGACTAGGGATGTAAAGACTGTAGTGCCCTCGCTTCGTAGTAAAGTTCGAAAGTACACTTTGTTTCTTTAACGGGTCACCCCCTCCACGGGAGCTTCCGGACCTGTATATACAACAGTGGATGGAACGGACAGTGAAAGGCGGGAAGAGTTTACGATCGCTCGACGGTGGAAGTCGGTGAACGGTGATGTCTGGGCCGCCGCCTTTTAAATTCCACCGAACGAGGATTCAGCGTGATGAAATCGTACAGGATGTGCGTGGGGGAGGAGCTATTGTCACGGATCGTTGATCGAACACGGAACAGGCAGACAGTGAACGATGGGATTGCAAGATGGCGCGTCGATCGAGCGCGGAACCGGCATACAGTGAACCATGATGTAAGAATTAGTGAAATGCTAGATGGCGCGTCGATAGTCGCCGTTGAGACGAATGAAAAGTATTTATCGCGAGATGTGGGTTGGTCGATTGGTATCGGAGTGATGCAAATACGTTCTATTAATTTCTGAAAATGATGGTTCGTATCAGTGACATAATTGCAGCGTGTAACTGAGAGTTTTATTGGCTGCGGTTCTGAAAAGGTCCACCTTTCGATTTTGATGAGACTTGGTAAAATTGTCTTGAATACTCCTGATTGAATATATGTAACAGGTTTCCTAGCGCATTTGAAAATTAATACAGGGTGTTCGACAACTAGTGGGAAAAAAGTTAAGGGGTTATTCTTTGAGGCAATATAAGACGAAAGTCAAGAATAAAGAAATTGCGAAACATGCTTCGTTAGTTAGTTATAAGCGTTTAAAAATTGACCCAAATCATGGCAATCCGCGCGCACAGAGTGTAAGCGGATTACGGCTCATCAGGGGCGTACAGTCACTTTAAAGACTCAACGACGTGCAGGAAAAGTCGGTAGAACAGCTGTTTACTTACCCCGTAGAAGATGTCGATAACTTGTGCCCGCGGTATTTGAGTCGAATCCACCTGTATCGCATTAACTCTGATTACTCGATAAAATTCGCAAGAAATGTAAATATCTTCTTACGAATATTATCGAGTAGAGAGGGTTAATGCCCCCTCTAGTTGTCACGTATCAGAATTGTCCTGTCCACGAGTATTCATGAAATTAATCCGCACATGCACGTACATCACAGACGTCCGCGAAAAGTGTCCACACACACTGAGCGTTTGTCATGTCCGCGAAAAATGTCCATACACACTGCGCGATTGTCACGTCCGCGAAAAATGTCCGTACACACTGCGTGATTGTCCCGACCGCGAAAAATGTTGACACACTGCGCGATTAAGTAGACCCGCGAGCTGTTCCTCCTGTTTAACACTCTACAGGTTACACAAAACTAACACTCAAAATAATTAATTTAAAACTATTTAACACTAATTTTTAATCTACACTAATTAATTTATAACAACTATTTATACTAATTTTTAACACGCTATAATTAATAAAACCTGCAATAATGAATAAAATCTACAATATTTAATAAAGCTTGCAATAATTAATAAAATCTACAGTATTTAATAAAACCTACAATAATTAATAAAATCTACAATACTTAATAAAACCTACAATAATTAATAAAACAGACAATAATTAATTTGCACTTTTTATAACGACGACATACGCAACACTACTAAATAATCACTACGTAATCGCTAAATAAACTAAAACTTAGTTTTCCGAACATGAACTCTATTTGCTCGTAGAATGCAAAGGGCAGCGTTCGGAAAGGACAACTGATATTGTTGCACTGATCCTCCCTCGTTAGGATCGATGTGGCGTAATAGGTCGATCCCCACTCTTTCGTGGTCAATACTTTTTGGGAAGGAAAAACTGCATGGGAAAGTGTCTTGGTGGTCACGTTTCTTTTCGTATATTCTTAGAGCAACATCTGTATATTGACTTACTGTATGTTTTACGCGCATTGCACATTTTATTACCACTTCGATCTTACTCCAAGTGTTTGAGGTTCTTGTTTCCGCAAAAAAATAATATGCAATTAACATGGATCATACAAAACGTATAATGATATTAGAATGAAACTAAGATGAAATTTGCCGCACCTTCATTACGATGCATGAAGAAACTAAGAAACTAAAATAAATAAAATTGTTAAACACATACATTCGGTGTAATATGAACCATTTCTAACATGGAATTGGAATTCGAGGTTGAAAGTTCTTTTTACAAGTTAATGTCTAGAGGGACGGCCGAAAACACAATAGGCAAGGTCTTCGTCGATGGCAGTAAGACGTTACAGGAAATCGGCGGGTGGTCGTCCTGCAGAAGACAAGAGGCAGTTTTATAATGTCCAGACGCGCGCTCCCTCGGCATCGTGGCCAAGTAGCCTCGAGGCCCCGAGTGGTGTATGAGAAAAAAATACAGATGTTGCTCTAAGAATATACGAAAAGAAACGCGACCTCCAAGACACTTTCCCATGCAGTTTTTCCTTCCCAAAAAGTATTGACCATGAAAGAGTGGGGATCGACCTATTACGCCACATCGATCCTAACGAGGGAGGATCAGTTCAACAATATCAGTCGTCCTTTCCGAACGGTGCCCTTTGCATTCTACGAGCAAATAGAGTTCATCTTCGGAAAACTAAGTTTTAGTTTATTTAACGATTACGTAGTGATTATTTAGTAGTGTCGCGTATGTCGTCGTTATAAATAGTGCAAATTAATTATTGTCTGTTTTATTAATTATTGTAGGTTTTATTAAGTATTGTAGATTTTATTACTTATTGCAAGTTTCATTAAATATTGTAGATTTTATTCATTATTGCAGGTTTTATTAAATATTGTAGGTTTTATTCATTATTGCAGGTTTTATTAAATATTGTAGGTTTTATTAATTATAGCGTGTTAAAAATTAGTATAAAAGTTAGTGTTAAATAGTTTTAAATTAATTATTTTGAGTGTTAGTTTTGTGTAACCTATAGAGTGTTAAACCCAACCGAGGAACAGCCCGCGCGGGTCTACTTAATCGCGCAGTGTGTGAACATTTTTCGCGGTCGGGACAATCGCGCAGTGTGTATGGACATTTTTCGCGGACGGGACAATGGCTCAGTGAGTGTGGACACTTTTCGCGGACTTCTGAGGTGTACGTGCGTGTGCGGATTAATTTCATGGATACTCGTGGACAGGACAATTGTGATACGTGACAACTAGAGGGGGCATTAACCCTCTCTACTCGATAATATTCGTAAGCAGATATTTACATTTCTTGCGAATTTTATCGAGTAATCAGAGTTAATGCGATACGGGTGGATTCGACTCAAATACCGCGGGCACAAGTTATCGACATCTTCTACGGGGTAAGTAAACAGCTGTTCTACCGACTTTTCCTGCACGTCGTTGAGTGTTTAAAGTGACTGTACGCCCCTGATGAGCCGTGATCCGCTTACACTCCATGCGCGCGGATTGCCATGATTTGGGTCAATTTTTAAACGCTTACAACTGACGAACGAAGCATTTTTCGCAATTTTGTTATTCTTGACTTTCGTCTTATTTTGCCTCAAAGAATAACCCCTTAAATTTTTTCCCACTAGTTGTCGAACACCCTGTATAAACAGCGTGTTAGATTTAAATCGACCCATTCGAATGTCTCCGAAACTGTTGAGGATATTAAAAAATGTTTTAGACAAAAATTAAATGGTATCAGGGGGCTACCTCCCTGATACTCTTAACTTTTTTCTATGTGTACGCGTAAAGGTCATATGAAGGTCAACTTTGTTTTTGCAAATGAAATTGTGTATATTTGAATGCACTATTTGATGGTACGTGTTATTCCCTACAAGAAGTATTAAGTTACTTACGGCGAATTAATGCATTAGAAAATATACGATTCTATTTAAGAAACAAAGTTAACGTTCATATGAGCTCTACGCGTCCACATAGAAAAAAGTTAATTACATCAGGAAGTTTGCCCCCTGATACCATTTAACTTTTGTCTGAAACATTTTTTAATATGCTCAACAGTTTCGGAGACATTCGAATGGGTCAATTTAAATGGGCCACCCTCTATATATATTTATTTATATAAAAACCTTTTATATACGTTCATTTGGGAGTATTTAAGACACTTTTATTAACAAGTGATATCACTCAAATATAACACGCCGATTTTAATGCCGTTTGGTACAAAGATAGTATTTGTAGCTGCTGACATTCACATCCAACGAGGTGAGAACAGCCCTCAATTTCGTGGGTACAAAATAGATTTTTTTTAATATCTCGTAGACTATTCGAATTAGGTAAGACAATTGTTAAGAAAAATGTTTTTTAATAATAAATATAACTGCTTCAGTAGTTTTTCGAAATATCAGTTTGTTTAAACAATTACTTTTTATATTTTAGTATTTTGAAATACAACTTAAGTAGTTACTTTTATTGTTAAAAATTACAGAATTTTTGTTAACAAATATCTTTTCTAATTTAAATAGTTTGTGAGATATTAAGGAAAATCTATTTTTCATCTACGACTTCGAGGGTTGCTTTCACCCTCTAGATGTGAACGTGAGCAGTTCAACAAAATAATACCCGTTAAATATTTTTCAAAATACTACCTCTGTATCAAACGGCATTAAAATCGGTGTGTTAGACTCGAATAACGTTCTTTATAAGTTTCATCAAAATCGACAGGTGGAGCTTTTCAAAGCTACATTCGTTTCGTTTCTTCTTGTGAATTTTATGAGAATCTTTGCTTTCGTTGATTAGTATCGATGTTACGAATGTTTGCAAAGTGCAAATTTTTGTGATCGCGACACATTCCTTTACGAAAAGGTTACGACTATTAAATGAATACGTGGTTTTTGTGATCCAGTCTGTTGGAATATACAGTAAACGTTACGTGCATTGTAAAAATAAGAACGAAAAGAATATTATAAAATGGTAAAAACTGAAGGATTCTTTGAATAATCAGGAAAGAACACTTTTTTTTAGAAATGGGCAAAACAGGATTATTTTACCGATTTGTAACGTAACTGAAGTGGATTAACAAGTCACATCGAGCATAGGGATAATGTAACATAATAATCGAAGAGAAAACATGAAAGTGCTGAAAACATAGTGCAACACCGCACTTCTTTGATACCTTTTCTCGGACGTTGATCATCCACGCTATAGCACATGCAGCACAGTAAAAGAAAATCGAAAGTTATGGAATGCTGATTTCACTTCAGTTATGCACCAGATTTCAGTTTGAATTTTTTGTTCGGCTTTATAAACTTCAAAACATGTTCATTCAAGCTGCTCTAATAATTTTTTGTTCACTTTGACCTTAAGATACTCAGGTGTAGTGTGTATACATATATTTGGTATCATGTGTAAGATGCGATGCTTTTACGTGAGTCAATCAGTAATTCACAATTTTTTCTAAATTAGATTAAAAAGAAACAGTAATACAAGATAATACAATAATACGAGATGGTGAATTAAAACCATTTTGTTATTTTATTAAATAATAAATGAGAAATATTTTTTTCACTCTGGTTTCTGTAGACTATAAAAATCGAAATTTCCATAAATATTTACAGTTTACAAAAATTACCATTTTGTATGCAATAATGTAATTTCAGTTCTAAAATGTATAAATATACAAGCACACTACATTTTAAATTATATTGTCAATTTTTAAGAAATTATATGGTGGATTACTTATTGGTACACCTACTGCAATAAATTTTATCGCTTAAGGATGATACAACAAGAAAAACAAGAAGACATTATTCTATATACAAAAATATACAAAAATGTGGAAGAACATTTTTCCGTACAATGTTTTGTTTCCAAGATAATTAAATTTGTAAATTCATGTAACAACATTTGCTCATATTTTTAATAACTAATGACTGGGAAACGAGGTCTCGAACGCAATTTTGTCTACGCTGTGAAAGGGTCCCATATTTTTATTAACACCCTGATGTTCCGTGCTGACAATAAGTAAAAACGGAATGTAATGAATAGACGCGTCAGTCAAATCAGTCTATTCAGATCCAAATTGGATTATCTCGGAAACGAAGCAAGCTACGAAAAAACTGTGTATTTTACATATTCGACTCATTTTTGTATGTAGAATAACCTCCCGTTCGGTTTAACTACCTGTCCTGGCTCATTCTGTATAGCTGGACAATGTACAATTAACCCTTTTAGACTCAAGGCTTTAGGGTGTTTACAATGTTAATTGTCTTTAACAAATGTTTCATGGAATTTCAAATGTTTTCCAGAGTTTTTGTTACAAAAATTCTCTAAGCTGTTTAGCAAGACGTCGCCCAAGTTCTTAACTGTTCTAATGCCAGTTTGAAAATAAAGGTTAATCAATCTACATTCGTCTCAATGGTCCAAAGAATACATATTCACCACAATATAAAGAATATTCAACCTAGAAAACAACAAATATTCTTTTAAATCCTAACTCTGAAACTTTGAAAGTATTTTTTTCTAATGATTGTATCTCCAAATACTAACAACAATTAAAAAGTTATGTTGACAATAAGATAAAATTGTGTAAAATATTGTAATACGTAGCTACTCAGTAGATGATAGTATAGTGTGTTTGATTATTTCCTTACTTTCCTGCTTGTATAGCATTAAACTTCGGAAACTTTACACTCAGTTTTCTCACAAGAGAATCACCCCAACTGTACCATTTCGATTTTATCGATCTTTCGTAGGATGATAGAGTACATATTTCTAATGATATGCATGAAATATTTGCTGTAGTTACTTGATAGTTTTGAAGGTATAATTAATTAAAATTACATACCTAGTTATACAGGTATTAAGAATATAGGTGTCTGCTCATGATATTATTGTGAAAAATGATTTAATTTTTTGTACTAATTAATTTTCACGCAATAAGTCACTTCGCCATCGTGGATTTCACAAACAGACATCTATATTTATAATACGTATACAGGGTGACCCAAAAATATGGGACAATTCGCAACATTTATATTCCTCATGCAAATACAAATCGAAAAGTCGTTTACCGGTTTTTATAATCTGAAGCTCTATTTCCGACATATTAGTAGTTAAACGAACTCCAATCAGCTGAACGGTGGGCCACCCGTACGCGCAGACGCAGTCAAGAAGCAGATGCCAGTGACTTGGGTCGTGGCCCACCGCTCAGCTGATTGGAGTTCGTTTAACTGCTAATATCACGGAAATGGATCTTCGGATTACAAGACGGTAAAGGACTTTTTGATTTATATTCGCATGAGGAGTATGCGTGTTGCGGACTGTCCCATCTTTTTGTAACTTTCATTAATTATACATTCAAAACTATCAAGTAACGACGGCTAATATTTGCACAAATTTCATTAGAAATATACAGGGTGAATCACGAATCGTGATCAGTAGATATCATTAGATGTGTTCCAATGTACAGAACGAAATGTTTACAAACAGTAGACAAGAGTTCAATATCGGAACGCGTACAATAGCGTAGCATACGATACATATTTCTTTAATCTTTTCTCGACCCAGATGAAAAAAAAGTAACACATGTCATGTTATGATACTAACCAAATTCGTCTTGAAATCCTCTAACAGATAGGCGTAAAAAAATTATAGGTGCATTTGCAAAAAATTGAAGGTGACCTTAAAAAATCATGAAAAAAAAAAAAAGAGTTGACAAAAAATTTGCTATAATCACATTAAAGCTCTCTTGAAATCATGCTATATTTGATGAAAACATTTTCGATCGGACTGTTAATAACAGAGTAATCTCTACTGATCACGATTCGTGGTTCACCCTGTATATTCTATCACCGTACAAAAGAATGGTAAAATCGAAGTGGTACAGTTGGGGTCCTTCTCCTGTCAGTTTAGAAACTAGTGGAGATATAACACTTAAGAACCAGAGCGACAAATTGCTCTCTAAAAATCGCTGAACCTAAAAAGGTTAAGTAGCAAGGATCCATTTAAATGCAAGTATGTCGAGACATTCGGACTTACCTTCGTTCTTGCATTCGGGCACTTGATCAGCCCACATGCAGACTCTGGCCTCACGGTCGTATGCTAGTCCGGGGCTGCACTGGTACCTGGACGATTCGCCGTTCCAGCAGTTCCAGAACACGTCGCATTTCTTGTCGTCGGCGAAGATACCGTACAGTCGGGGACAATGGGACGTGCTGACCGCTGGCTCCAGTTGCGTTCTGTCGCCGCAGTCGACGTTGTGGAGGTAGTCGCAGTTCTCGGTGAGGAACTTGCTGTCGCTGGCGTCGAACGCAAGACCGTTGCCGCAGGTCTTCAATTCGGCGACGTTGTTATCGCATTTCCAGTATTTGTCGCAGGATATGTGGTGAGGGTAGAAACCGAAGTCGTCTGGGCATTTGAATGATTCTTGGGCGGTCGCGCCTGTAAACGTAACAATAATGATTTAGCTTCATTGTTCGATTGGATGTTGCACGAGGACGGACGAGGAATACAGTGAAATCCCGCTAATTCGATACTATTAAAAACTAGGTGGGGCTGGATTATTGGAATATACGAAATACAGGAGGTAAATAATATGTGAAATTATCATACTATATGATTAAACTCATTGGATATATTAAATTAAAAAAATACATATAATTATGTATTGCACGATACTATTGGTACACTACTATTCTGTGTTAGAAATTATAGTCTTTAATAGATGTTTGCCTTTTTGCAACTATTTTTCCTTTAAACACCTTCTCACGTAGTCTCCGCAAAGTTATGATTTCCTCAGTGGGTATTGAATTTTCTTCTGCCGAGGTGATACAGAAAACAAAATACGCGAGCCTCGCTGTCGGATTACTTGGCGGGATGTACTATCGAAGGGTCGGATTAACGAGATTTTACTGTATTGATTTTAACACTTTGACCAATCGAAGGGTTAGATCATAGATTCCCGCAGTGGGCGCTGATCACATCTGGAGAAGCGTTCTAGTTAGTGGATGGTTACCAAATTTGGACCATCGTCCAGGTTGGACCATTATAGTACTTGTCATGTGTAAGTGATTTGCGCTGTATGATAGACAATATGTTTAGGATAGTGGTGATTGCATTAACTAACTTACAAATAATAAGCAACACATGACAAGTTACAGTAGTGATCCAACCTAGGCGATGGTCCAAATTCGACAACTTTCCCTTGTTTTATTTTCTTTATTTTCAATCTGACTTTTTAACATTTTAGATTACACAGACAATTACACGTGGAAATTTTGATAATAGAGTTGGTTTACCCGAAGAAAGCGCTGAACAGAACAAATTTTTTCATTATCGATAGACTTATCGATTAAAACAACTCGTAATGTTCGGATATATAGAATAATTTAAATTTAATTGAATTATTTAAAATTAGTGAAAAATACTATCGATTGTAATGCTTGCTGTTATGAAAAAAGTGTCTTAAAAAACAAGTAGTTCTTGGACTGACATTTATTGAAACAAAAATTCTGCAACTTTGTGATATAATTACAGAAAAGCAAGCAGGATTAAATTGTTTATCATTTCCTTGATTCTAAAAGAAATCACATAATTTTAATGCGTATAGCATTTATTGCTCTGAATCAGATTTGATTCACGGACTTTTGTTTCACTGGTTCGTGAATCAAAACCGCCCTGTTCCATATATTAGTCAAGGCAGAGTGAACACGATAATAATGTTAAGATAATGTCTAGTACGCAAGGAAGTTCAATGGCGAGATAAACAAGATACCATTGTGTTCCTCATCTGATAATAAATTTAAACTCACGATAACAATAGAAGGAAAAAAGGGAAAATGAAAGTGTTACTTTCTATTACATTTTCTATACCGAACTGCTCTAAAAAAATGATGATCTCATTGGCAAGATACTGATAATTTATTACTGATTTCATTAAAGTGGAAATATAAATTTTTTTACATTAATCTAACTAACAAAATTAATTTGTATATTGAAATGAGCTAAATATTTTCTTAATAATCGACAATATAATAATATTAATCATAGATACATTTATTTTAGATGTAGGTATGTCTTAATTACAGATAATAGATAAATCCATGAACTTTCTCGTGATAATGAATAAAATGAGGGGAAAAACATAATATTAATACAAAGAAGATACATTGAAAATTTTATGCAATTATATCATAGAAGGCAGAAGATTAAAAACTTTGAATGTTTTATTTCTTTTTATTTTAAATCCTCACAGATTTTAAGTAAAGTAAATTCTTGTTTATTTTATGACAAATACAATGATTTATAAAACAAAATCATTTGTATAAAGTAGTCTACAAAGCTGCCAATTTTGATTCTGTTTTCATAAATGACACCAAGTAAAAATTCTTAACATCACCTTATTACAAATAAGCTAAAATTTCGTATGCAAAAATGATCACTAATCACTAGACTGCGGATTTTATGTATTTATAGTATACACGATCATTTAGATCTCGCAATCAGTATACCAATAAATTAATGAAGTTTAATTAGGTATAAAAAGAAAACAACTCAACGTTAATTTATAAGATCGATAAAGGAGCTTAATTACAATAAGAAAAGGAACAATTTTTCTTTCGAACAAGAAAATGAAGATCGTATCTCTTTTCTGGTATCATGCTGTAAAAGTCATGTTTGCTATATAACACTAGAAATAAAAAAGTTCAATAGTTGCAGCGTGTTTAACAACGTAACTGACATGATATTAATAGAAGAACATAAACAAGAAAGTTTACTTCCGATAAAGGCTTATTTATAGGAGCAAGATGATTGAGAAAGTTTATTGAACGTCCAAAAAAGGAAGCATTTCCGCAACGAAAGGACAGCTAAAAAGAGTTTACTATCGAGAATCTTATTCAGTTAGTTTCTGTCTTCAGTAGGCTTCACAGTCCCACTGATTAACAAAGTCTTATTAAAAATAAATATACTAAAAACAATCAGTTCAAATAAATCAATTTCACAATTATATTAGTAGCATTAGTAGGAAGAATACGGTAATATACATATATTTCTTTCTCTTCGTTTGAACGTGTAACATTGCAGTGGTACGATCATTATATTGCAAATTCCAAAGATGTATAACATTAAATTTTCTAGAAGAAAAAAGTCGGAATTTATACTAATATAATTATTTATATTTAAATGTATCAATAAGTAATCCACTATGTTTTACCAACTTGATATTTATATTTAGGAAATGACAAGGCTATATTGTTGCAATAAAGTCCACCGTCGTCCTCTAACATCCTCTGTTATTGAGATGTTCCGAATATAATTTATTTTACCACTTTATTAATACAAAATAGTAGATTACTTATCGGTAGGCCTAATACAAAGATCTGCAGTCAATTTGTTTCGAATAAAAACATTCGTAATAAAGAACCAAAAAATTATGTTTCATTGTGAATTTACATTAAAACCGCAGCATTACAACTTGAATAATAGTCATAGTTTGAGAAAATTAGCTAAAGAAACTGTTGAATAAGACTTTATAGACGAAGCAATCGGAATAGGTATTGTAATTTAAGCTGATTATACACTCGTTCGTTAGAATAGAAATGAAAGGAAGGATCCTCATTGTGGTCACGACTTCGAAGATTTCAGTTTGGAGGCTGTTTATTATTTTAATGGGGAATAAATTGAAGTACATATTTCTCCGTTGAATTGATCTAAACGTGGTCAGATATTCTCCAAGTTGAGAACGATCCGCGGGTAAAAATCTGTTCTGCGGTTACGCCCGGTGCAACATTTAATCGTGCCAGGGATCCAGGTAATCGTGGACAATTTTACCGCTCTGGGAATATTTATCTTGATGGGAAAATTAAATAATAAAACTGATTGTTGCCTACAAAATAGCACTTCCTTCTTTATTTCGCATTTAGGCAGGAAGAGAAATGATTTTTCAAGAAGAACAACGGGTTTCGTTAATCTGTAGATCGGTTGTTTCATCGATCGTAATCGCCATTTAAATTTGGTTTAGGTTTTTCGAAGTTTAATTTTGAGATTACTTGTTGTTTGGAATAATTCCGGGATTAAAGAATATAATAACTTTGTTAGTTATTAAGAGACGGCAGATTATATCCATTTGTAGTAGATACAATGGAGATAATAAAAATAAAATAGAAACATTCGTGTAGTTTAAAATAGACGGCAGTTTTTCATTATTTTGTAAAACCATTTATTGATGTAATAACTTTATGAATTAGTCCATGAGAATCGGGATTCATATGAATGTAATACAAATAAAATATAATTAACTATTTATCTTGCGATCATTGTGTAACATTTCTGCATTAATTTACAAAATTATGTTTGTTAAATTTGAATCAATATTTTTAAATAATTACATGACTTCATGTTACGACTAATTTTTCGTTTTTATAAATTATTCCTTAAAACATAGATTTGATTAAATTTCTACAGTATTTCTATCTCTCTCAATTCAGTGGTCCAGCTGTGTTCATTTTTTAGGTACAAGAAAAGAAATATCATATAAACATAAGTTTTAGAAACACTTTATTAAAAACTTATAACAAATAAAAACGAGAAGATAGTAATTTATTGAATATCTTTGTGTTTATTAAACAACACTGTAGACCAAACATTTGGAATTACGTTGCGAATTGAAGACAATTGAGATTTGCTTGTTCATCCCATTAATTTAAGGTACTGTAAATGTGCTTAAATTAATTAATTTGAAATCAGTCAAATAGTTCATTAGGTTATACTGAATATTTTTGTTATAACTTTTCAATACAATGTTTTGGTAGGTATATTTATAAAATATATTTTTTTTAAATTCTGTTCATAGAATATACTGACAAAGTTTGATCATACAATTGTGAAACACTGAGCATATTTAAAAATCAATTAGTTCAGTACAACGCGTGTTTAGTGAGCTAATTGAAGTGTGATGATCTGAATATTAAAAATATTAAGAGGTACCAACATAATTAAGTGCGGCCATTTTTATGGTGTTGCTAATTTACATTCGGTGCAGTGATGCGATTAATTTGAACTGCGATATTACCGAAACAAACAAGGTAAACTTAAACATAATATTGTCTGAAATATATTGATTAACGATACATTTACTTGTAATATATTAAATAACAATAAAACCTGAAATATATTGACCAACAATAAGTTTTTATTAACTGTCTATGTAAATTATTAAATTAGATTTCGTGATCAACGTTTTATCTTTTACTAATGTAGTTTCCTATTGTTTGATAACATTAATTTATCGATTTTTTCATAAATTTTTTGTTAAATCAGATTATAGTAACAGTAACTGTTTCGTAGAAAATCATTATTCCATATGATTCCACTTTGTGGAAACATTTTTGTTTCTCCCTCTTGTTAATTTCCGTAACGATTTTTTTATTTTCTGTGTTATA